TCTGTACCACAGTATAATTATTAAACTAGAAAATTTAACATTGATATACTAGCCCAGCTAGCTCAGTCGGTAGAGCATGAGACTCTTAACATTGATATACTATTATCGAATATGCAGTCTTATGCAAATTTCATCAATTGTCCCAGCAGTGTTTTTTATAATCCCCCCGTCTAGTTTCTATTGCATTTAGTTATTTTTCTTTAGTTTTATTCCTTGACCTTTCTTTGTTATCTGAGTGTGTATCTAATTTTTGCTTATGTATTTATATGATATAATACTATAGATCTTTTTCCTTCTCTTAATTTTTTTTCAGTGTTTTTAAGATCTACCCATATTTATATGTAGACATCTATCTTGTTTGCTGCTTCCAATTCCTGCTTAGTATCCCATAATATGTATCTGCCAACATTTACTTATCCATTCCCCAGTGACAGACACCTAGATTATCTTTAACAACTTGCTATCATAAATAACTCTGTCATGAACATCCTCATATATGTTCCCTTTGGGAATATTCCTGGGATACATATCCAAGAATAGAATTGTTGGGTCATAAAATATCTGCCTATTTAATTTGACGAAGACCTCCCGAATTGCTCTCCAGAACAGCTACCCTGACCACAGTACAACTGTTGGGCACTAAGGTCCCAGTTTCTCTAGACCACTGTCAATACTTAGTTCTAGGTGACATTCTAATCTTTGCCAGTGTGATGGTTTTAATGTGAACTTTTGTTTATTCTTTCTGATCACTAATGAGTTTCACTTCTTTTACCAACTCTTCACTGAGATAGACTTTCCTCAGCAGGGACCTATCTATTTTATTTTATTTTTTTATTTCAAGTTTTTATTTAAATTCTAGTTAGTTAATATATATGTTAAAATTGGTTTCAGGTGTAGAATTTAGTGATTCATCACTTATGTCTAACACCCAGTGCTCATCACTACAAGTGACCTCCTTAATACTCATCACCCATTTAGCCCATCAACTCTCAGTTTGTTCTCTATAGTTAAGAATCTCTTATGGTTTTCTTCCCTCTCTTTCTCTTTCTCTCCCCCTTCCCCTGTGTTCATCTGTTTTATTTCTGAAATTCCATAAATGAGTGAAATCTTATGGTATTTGCCTTTCTCTGACTGACTGAGGGAACTTATCTTTAAATATATATATATATATATATATGCATATATATATATATATATAATCTATCTATCTTCTGCTTCAGCCTGATTAGCCTATTAGAGGGATCTTTTGAAGTTGATATCATGAATAGCAGTTGTAAACTCCCATTTTACTTTGTGTCCCTGTAAGTGAACTTCTTAACATTGGTCAGGTTATTTTTGGGGTTTCTTATATTTGAAATATAAGCTACAAAAATATACATTCTTCTAGACAACTGAAACCGAAGTCCTTAAGATAGCTATCTGCATTTGACACCTAAAGATTGTTAGTAGACATAGAACTTATAAGATTTCCTCCTTTATGTACTTGAATTCATGAATTTTTTAAAAAAAAATTTTATTCGAATATAGTTGACATACAATGTTACATTAATTTCAGATGTACAACATAGTAATTTGACAAGTTCTTACATTATGCTATGCTCACTCAAGCATAGCTACCATCTGACACCGTACTCTATTACAGTATGAATATATTCCCTATGCTGTGCCTTTTGTTCCCTTGATTTATTCATACCATATCTGGAAGCCTGTATTTCCCACTCCCCTTCTCTTGTTTTGCCCATATGCCTACCCGTTTGGCAACCATCACTTTGTTCTTTGTATTTATAGGTCTGATTCTGCTTTTTGTTTGTTATTTGTTTTTTTTAGATTCCACATATAAGTGAAATCATACGGTTTTTGTCTTTCTTAGTCTGACTTATTTCACTTAGCATAATATCCTCTAAGTCCACCCATGTTGTCACAAATGACACAATCTCAACCTTTTAATTGCAAAGGATACAATTTCTAGAGCACTGTAAATATTAGCATGTAAAAAAATAAAATTTTGTATGCCTCTTTTAAATATATCAATTGAATCTAAATGCCATAGCATCTTGGTAACTTTCATTATGCATTTAAAAAATATGTGAGCAGGTTCTTGTTTTATAGTCAAAATTTACATTATTTTTTCCCTCTTTTAACTCAATATGTTTAGTCTTTCTTTCCCAACCAGAATCTATCCTGATGTATATTTTAGTATTTCTTTTTTTTATTTTTTTTTATTTTTTTAAAGATTTTATTTATTTATTTGAGAGAGAGAATGAGAGAGAGCATGAGAGGGAAGAGGGTCAGAGGGAGAAGCAGACTCCCTGCTGTGTAGGGAGCCCGATGTGGGACTCGATCCTGGGACTCCGGGATCATGACCTGAGCCAAAGGCAGTCTCTTAACCAACTGAGCCACCCAGGCACCTATATTTTAGTATTTCTTAATATATTTTTAAAAAATATATTTTTATACTTCAAAGTATTTTAATTATATCATATCTCTATCACAAAAATGTATATAAATTGCAATTACATTTACAAAATTTCCTGTAATAATAAAGGGAAAAATTGTCTCTGGTTATATATTCATTACATTACAGTCATTGTTAGCCAATTGTTGATCAGAGAAGCATGTGCATTTTACATATTTTAGTAAATAATAGAATCTAAAAATAAAGTTTTATAGAAAATGTGCCTTTAGTTATATTTTTTCAATTGCTGTATTTGTCTCTCTTGCTAGAATGAGGCAGAATTTGAGTATCAATTCGACTCTTTGATTTTGTTTTTATAGATTTGAATGCTGAGAAAATTTGTTCACATAAATAGATGAAAAGAGTTCATTGTAGAAATATCACTCAGTTCTTTGAACTCCTTTTGAATTATTTGTCAGAACATAACCGATGGTGATCTAGCATCAAAAAAAATTTTAACAACCCATTGACCATTCATTTGATTCTATTCTCTTGTAAACTTGATGAAAACAAGAAACTACATATGTCATTCAATCATTAAAATCATTCTCTTTCTCAACACTGATACAAAATGGTTCTGATTGTCTCTTCTTGACACCCACATTTTTAGACCCCAAGGCAATGAACCATTGTAAAATTATAGATGAGTAAAGGATAAGTTTCTCTTTTATAAGGTAGGAGAAATAAGATTTAAAAAGGAGAAGCTTGACTTTTTTTTTTTTTTAGAAAAGAATACATAAGGAAGTTGAAGATCTTGAAAATAATTTTCTTAAAGCCATCTGTGTCTGCCTATACCTGTCTGAATTCATATGACTCAGGCATATGTATAAGGCTGCTGCTAAAAGGAAATAATTTTTTTAAAGCTATCATCATTTGAGAAGAATCAATAGTATTCACATGATAGCATCAGCCTTTGAGAGAAGTATAGAATATTGTTTATTGAATTATAAATTTACATTACGGAGCTTTCTATGTAACTCTGCAGCTGATTGTTTTGACAGAATTATATCTAATTCTATAAACTGTAAACTCCACCATCATGTTCCTAGAAGATCATTCAAAGAGACCGATTCCAGTGTGTTGATGTCAAATAAGGAGACTAAATACTGGTGTATTTAGTTTTTGGTCATTTTGGTGGGTTACTTGGTGTTTTAATTTAGGGCTCTGGATAAACACTCTTCTATATTTCTCTTTCTTTGCTTATGTTCGTTCCTCCATGTGAATTACTAGTTTCATCTCTTTGCCCCACATATGATATATCTTTATTATGGCTCTTTTATATTGTACTTATGAAGACCAATTCATTCAGCTTCCTAAACATATCTCAAATATAATCCCACCTCTCTATCCGGTGCCCTTTTCAGACCTACATCATTTCTCAATTGGTAATGATCTGCTTTCCCTGCCTCCATTCTCTTCCCACTCCAATGTCTCCACCATAGAATTACTATAATGACCTGTCTAAAATATAGATCAATTCCATAGTCTCCTGCTCTGAAATCTTAAGTTGCTCTTGCTCAGAAATCTTCAGTGTCTCTGCACTGCCAAAATTATTATTTACTTTCATTTATTGTAATTCTCTCTTCTCAAGTACCTTTCCAATTTTTTCTCCAGCAACTGTCCTCATCTGTTTTATACTCTTGTCGCACAAATTACTTATTTCTTTGAAAACATATCATGGTATATTTATTAGGATGTCACAATGGACACATAACTTTATTTTTTCACTAATAGTGAAAGCTTTTGTCTATCTGTGGAGAAAGACTAAAATTTATTCATATTCATATCATTTATAGAAAAAATTTATGATTTATCATTGAGATATGTTTTTATATCACATTAATAATAGCACTAAGCATGGCTATAGGACACGGGGGGAAATGGCAAAGACAAGCTTTGAATAATGAAGGGAAACCGAGGTAAAGAAAAACTCTATAATCATAATCTTTAAATGTATCAAGATTTTTCAAAAGGTGTTTTGAAAACACACATACACATACAAACATAAATTGCATATGTATTGAATTCTCTTTTATCTATATTAATAAGAAAAATGATTTTTGTATTTGACCTTTAACCTAGAACTCAATGGATTATAACTATATTTTTATAATTCTCTTTTAGATTCAGCATAGTGAGGTAGCATGACCTCTAGGATGTTAACAGGCAGGTTCTACTAACACTTACTAACTGTATGATCTTTAATAGGTCATTTATCTTTGCTAAATCTCAGTTTTTCATACCTATAAAGTGAGAACTAATATATATTCCTTATCTGTTCAAGGAAAGATTGTATCATGTAAGTTAATATTTGAAAGTATATGATCAATTAAAGAGATTTAAAAATAAATTGCATCATAGAATTATTCTGTAGTCTCCTTAACTTTAATCCTGTATTTCCTTAGAGGATCTTGATGGAAGCTATATGTTGATAAGGCTAACAAATGATCAAATAAGGAAATAAAGGATATATTGGGGTTCGTTTGTTTTATTTTTTTTTATTTCTTTCTTTTATGTTTCTTATGTTTCTTCCTTGTTAAAACAGTTTTGGTATGAACCATGATGGAATTGGAAATTCTTGTGGGACGAAAGGTCATGAAGCAGCAAAACTTATGGCAGCTCACATTACTGCAAATACCAATCCTTTTTCCTGGTCTGCCTGCAGTCGAGACTATATCACCAGCTTTCTAGAGTAAGTAATCTCTGGAGAGTGATGATGAATTGCTCCAGAAGTAAGCCATTGGTAGAAGCCTAATATGTAGTGCTTCAAACTGCATAATGAGTAACTTTTATAGGGTGATATTTCAGGCTGTTCCCAAAATACTTTAATATATCGTTGTGGCAAATTTTTTCCTTCATACTCAAGCAGAACTTGGTAGATTAAAGAATCTGGAGCAAGGCTATAAGTGGGGTTGATGATGTGAGTGTCAGAAATGTTCAATAAATGGGAAACAATGTCAGAGAGAATTTAGATTTACACAGCTTAATAGTGTATAGGCCAAACTTTAATTCAGTGATTATATATTTCATTTTGTTGTTGAAAAAACTGTTTTTTTTTAGGAATGCTGAAGTATTTAATAGTAACAAACAACAACAACAAAAAACCAAACACCCAGCAAATGAAAATGAGAAAATGAAAATTTGTCTTTGAAAATTTATTATGTGACTCATCTTTTCTGCAGTTTGAGAACTTCTTTGCTGATCTTTTAATATATATTCTAAGAGTCTGGTTACTTAAATGTGAAATAAATAAATTAGCTGAGGTGTAACTATGTTTATGAAAGCAGATATTCTTTCACATCTCACCTGCATAGGACTTTAGGATTGGACTTTAGAAACTTACAGACTTAGGTCTTACTTTCTAACTGTGTGACCATGGGCATGTTACTTGACCTTTCATAATCTTCAGTGACCTCACATGTTAAATACATACATCTTCAGGTTTTTGTATATATATAATTATGTACAATGTTATAATGTATATGAAACACAGTAGACATTCATTAAGTGATAGATATTATTTTAAATAATATCGAGGCTTTAAACCTTATTGCTCTATCATTACTTTCAGCTGTTTTGTGCCATTTTTTGGGGGGGGAGGAGAGATTAAATATTCTGTGAAAAAGTGAATCATAGAAAAAGCACATGTGAACTACAGAAATTCTTTTTAAAAACTGTTCAGAGTTCACATTTATATAACAATGGTCTAAAACTTTCAAAATTCAGATAGATTATGTAAGGTAATATTATTTATTAATGTTTGGCTCATATCTGCTAATAGCTGAAACTTCTGAAAACTTAAAATTATGTATTTTTTTAAAACCCCAAACAAGAGATTTTAAATTACCTAGCACAACGGTTTCATCAATCAGAGATCAAAAGATAAATGTTTAAAATGGCCTTTTTTAAATTAATTAATGTAATAATGAAATAGAAGGAATTGGAAATTCATATCAGAAGGTAGTTCCTCAGAATAATTATGCCATAACCTAAAAATTTTTAATGTTAGTAATAGGTAATTATAATACTGTACTTTACCTCATGCCAAAACTGGGTTGAAGGCTATAAAGATAGACGACAGAAAGTTTGTTTGACATCTTTTGGTGGTTTTTAACACAAAGCCCTAGCATTATCATTTTCCAAGATGTTTTTAATGAGATCATATTACCTAAATTTTAAACATTGTTGAAGATCTGCTTTCTCCAGAAATCAAGCCAGATCTGGAATTTCTCCTTTGACTTGGCTCATGTTTTTATAATGGAATCTTAGTGTCTATCACCAGAAAGACAAACTGTATAATATGCTCAGTATGCCTGTGCATTTTTGAAGTCTTCTCTCCTTATGTTTTTTTTTTTTTTCAAGTACCAATTTTCTTTCTCCCTTATCTGTTTATTTTGCCCAGCCTATTTGCTAGGACCATCTTTGTATACTTAATACAAGGACCAGTTTTGAGGTCTTGCCAGACCCTGCCTTGATGAAACTATATTAAGGCTGTTAAAATACTTGGAAAGGGAATCCCTAAATTACTAATTACTGTTAAGAAACCACCACAGATTTGGTGAGAGATGTAAAATTATTACTGGTTGCAATAAAGTGTTCCACTGAATTAATTAAAAGAATTAATCCAAAAAGCATTATTTAAGCCTTATTGCCTCTGCATTTTGTATGTAAGCGTGATTAGTGTTGACAGGGTTCTAAAGGGCTTATTTATCCTGTATTTTATAAAAATATTTCTGTTGTAAAAAAAAAAATTCTGCTGTGCATCCTCATGGGAATGCTCACACAGTAAAAGCCATTAGTAAAAGATAGATATGAAAGACAATGGGTAGAGATTTGGGGAAAGTTGGCTTTTTTCCCCTTTTTAATAATAAACTAAACAACTCTGATTATAATCTGACCAAGCAATAAGGTTTTTTAAACACAGCACCCTTTAAAAAGGTCAGTTCACTGGAGCACAAAGACATAATAGTAACTTTCTTGATTTTCTTTGTTCCTTTTTATTAATACAGTTGGCTTAATTGCTTTAACAGCTATGTGTGATATTTTTAAAAATCCAGTGATATTTTGATCAGGGAGTGAGGTTACATTTATGTTTTATAGTTGGCTCAAAAAGACTCCTAACATTTTATTTTAGTTTCTCTTCTCAAGAAAAAGAAATCTTGAAAGATGAATTGTTTAGGAACTACAACCCAGCCAACAAAATGCATACCTTTCTTTACTTAGTGACTGTATAGGCCCAAGATGATGGTGGATTCTAACAATGAGCTTTCTATTATTTACAGAGATTCACTATTCACTATGTTCAACTGAAAACAATTCCATGGCCTTTAAATGCCAATAGAGTAAAGTCTCTCGTGTCTTTCTGAAACACTAGGTGCTATTGATCAATCAGGAGATGGTGTTTTACCAACTCCCAATATTTTTTTTCAGATTTCTTAAACTCGGTGATTCAATAAGTGGTTCATGAATCGCCCAGAAGCCGTCCTGATTAAATAATAAAGAACCCATTTCCGTTAAAATGGACGTGTTATGCCAGCTTCTGATGTTTTCGACGACGGCTTTGCAGGTAGTGTCCTTCCTATCTGCCTGCGGGACTTATTTACTTATTTATTTAGAAAATAGAGAAAGATGAACCTGGTATTATGGCTCACACTCATTGATGACTATGGGCTAATTTACCAGGCAGTGGAAGGCAGCCAGAAGTAGTTTAGGCCAGTTTTTCATACATTTTCCACCACTTAGTGGTAGTACAGAGTAATTTCATATAGTTTTCAAAAAATTCTGGAGCCTCTGTGAATCAACTCTTTCTCTATTTAAATTAAAGTCTGTTAAATTGTTTGAACTGTCAGAGATCCATAGCAAAATTTCCTACAGCTCCAAATTAAATACAGACTAGACATTTTCACAGAAAGGATGGAAGCTGAATAAAAGAAAGGCAGTATTATGGCAGAAGATGAACTAGAAAGAAAGAGCTACAAGGAAAGTGATATAAGATGAACAGGATAACTAAGACACTCACATTTCCTCTATAGCAATTAACTTTGAAGGTCAAATTTAAATGGAAATGAGTTTCATAGATGGGCCCTCTTTTTATATGGAGCCCAAGAAACAGCAAAACAGGTTTCTCCTCCTTCCATTTATCAGGCATGTTTTGGGGACTTTGCCCTAACTCATAAAAATCTTTGATAAGTCATAATTACACATGGAGAAGAGAGCATAGTGGAGTAAATCATTAGCAGTACGGTGTTTGTTGGAAGCCTCAAATTCAGTTCTCTTCAAGCATCCCAGTCATACAGAGGGCAAGAGAGAAAGGTCTGACTTAGAGGAACTCATTTTAGAAGGTAGTTATTGTTTGTTTTGTGAAGACTGATAAAGCAGTTTACAATAACCTAGTAGGTAAGACACTTGACTTGCCATAGATAATACAGTCTAATTCATTTTTGTTTGATTTAGGTGTATGAGCACAGTTTTGTGGCAAAAAATAGGAGTTGGCATTAAATTTTAACTTTTTGTTGTTGTTGTTAAAAGACTGTTAAGATATGTATAGGGTTATATAGAAAGATTTATTTTTTAGATTGACCCACTGTGTTGTAGCCTGAAGGTCTATACTTTATAGTATAATTGTTTAAGTAAAAAATCTAAAACTGCAATTAGGAAAATGTGCTCATGTGTTCTGGAAACAAAGCCAAGGGTGCATATTTTACATAGGGATCTGTAAATTTTAGCTGAAGATTCAACTCTGGCTCATGTTCCCATTTTAAGGCTAATTTTCAAACTATGTAAATAAGACTTCTCTAAACTAGAGGTAGAATACATGAAATATGATTTTGCTATCATGCTGCAAAGATTTCTGGAAATGTAAATATACTTTGATTTACTAAGAATTTCATAATCTAGGAAAAAGCATGTTCTCAAGCTAATACACATTTTTTCTGTCTTAGATGCATAAGCAAAAGTAGAGTCTATTATCATCTTTATTGCTGTAGATATTAATAAAGATTGGGCTTTTAGTAGTGAAATGTATGCTGCTATGGAAATAGAGTTCTACTTTTTATGTATATAGTTTTGCTCGGGACAAGTATATTACTACTTAATAACAATAAGTTATAATAGTATCTCATAGATGGAAGCTAACAGTGCTCTTCATTTAATTTATTAGAGTAAGGTTTCTGTTTTCTGAGTGGAAAAATTTGCATATGACCAAAGCACAGACCATCTATGCTTAAAAGTGCCATTTGATGAGAAAAATCAGGAAGATTTATATATAACACCACTACTATTATTATTTTGATAAGAGTAGCATAAATAACACTAGACTCAGCATCAGAAGAATTGTATGGTTATATTAATTAGCTAGAACCCTAGATTTAATAACAATTACTCATATCTCCCTTTTGTTAAATAGATGCAATTACAAAATATAAGAGAATAACTCATCTAATAATGTTGAGAAAGGAAAAAATATTTGTACCAGGAGACCTATACAAAAATGTTCATATCAGCATACTTTGCAATTTTCAGAAATTAAGGATAATGCAAATGTTTGTTAATAGAAGAATGGATAAATAATTGTGCCATAGTCTTAAATGGAATATTAACGATATTAATGAACAGACTACAGCTATACATATCAACATGGATGTTTCTCACATTCATAATATTGAACGAAAGAATAAAGTCACAAAAGAAAACCTACGGTATGACTCCTTTTATGTAGTCCAAAAATAGGCAGATTCATAATTGAGAGATGAATAATTACTAAAAAAAAGCATGGAAATAATTATATTAAAAGTCATAATATTAGTTACTTCTTCTGGAGAAAGTGAGGGGTGTGATTAGGGTTGAGCTCTTGGGAATTTTCTAAGAGGAAAAAAACACTTCTAGGGTTAAATATACATCTCTCAGATCCATGTCCTCTACCTTATATACTTACATCTGTGGTATTTCATAATGGCAGTTGATGACTCAGAGGCATGGAAATATCCAGAATTATTATTTTCTAAGAGTTAATTAAAATAATTATGATCTAGAGATTTAACGTACTTGAAAGTATCAGGAAATTTTAGTAACATTATGCAAAAAATATTTGTGTCACTTAACTTCCAGTTAAGAATTAAAATATGAAAACTGCCACACCCTCCAAATAGTTTCATCCAGGTTTTACTATACATATCAAACATGGTTAGTAGAAGAAAAATATATAGTACATTTTCTACCCAAAATGTAGAAACAATTTAAATCATATCCCTACCCTTGTTTTCCCAGAGCCGATAATAGGTAAGACATTTGACATGTAAGCATTAGTGGTTTGTACAATACTATCGCCAAACCCATTTCAAAAGGCCTTTGTTGATGCCATATTCCTAAATACACGTCCATTTTAATAAAGATCTATTTTTTGTTTCTATTTTATTTCATACAGTGTTTTATTCTTCTGTGAAAATATACAGAAAAGGAGAATAAGGCTTATCTAGATATTTAATTCTACATTAATACAAAGCAGTAAATACTTAGAAAAAATTGAAACAAAAATCCACTTTTGGAATAAACCTTATCAGAAGACTTTGTCCACAGGTGACCACAGTGCATGCCTTCTTTATTGTCTAGAGGCCCTTCCAATGGTTGTTGGATTGGGTATTTTTCAAAGAACATGAACCATGATTAGAACTCATCAATACCTGGGAACAAGAACTTTAGATGAAGCAATTATTCTTTCTTTATTCTGGATTAAGCCAAATTTCAGTTTGCTATCAGAAAAGAATTTTTCCCCAGGGTATCTATTCTTAACCTCTTTTGGGGGGGTCCATATAGTACTTCCTCTAGGTTTTTGGTTAATTTTCTATATCAGCAAGTTATTATGTATAATAGTTTTTAATAGATTTTTGAGTTAACACTACTTAGGTGACTATATCATATACTTGCTTTGTTATGCTATCGGCAAATATTTTTGCCTATGGGACCCTGTACTTGAATTTTTCCCATTGATTTATAGTAGTACTTAACTTGATTTTTTTTTACATATTTCAATCCTTTCATAAAGACTTCTATAATTTTGTTGTAGGTGGAGATGAAACTCATATTTTGGAAGAAAAATTATGGGATTAAACTGCTAATTGATTTATTTCATGAATATTACATTTTATCAAAATTGTCTTCTTTCTGTATACTTTTCACATTTGACCTTTATCATTAATCTTAATATAAAATTTTGAATTTACTGGTAGAATTGCATTTGCCTAAAATTTGCATATCTATGTAGATTAAAGATATTTTATGTAATAAAATAAAAAAAGCTTGCTATTTTAAAAGTTCATCTGGAAAGAGTTTCTCTTACTGAGGTGCATGTAAATTTTTAAAAGTAAATAAATAGGAAGCAAAAAGCGTTCTGTCGTGAAAACTGGATAGCTGGGTAAAAAAAGGTGTTTTCTGTTAAATACCTTCAACAGTGACAAGCGAAATGATTATAATAGCCAATAATAAACTCATTTATATTAGTAACACATTTATTATTCCATCTAAATATTTTTATTGGTGAAAAACCAATCAAGAAGGGCGTAAATGAAAGGGTGTAAAGAAGACAGTGTTCTGCCCCGTGAGTTTTTGATCTACCACCTTATGAGTAGTATGGTTCAATTTTTAAAAATGTATTAATTTGCTGCTGTGCAAATACACATTTTTATATAGCAAATTAACTTTTACATTTTAAGAAATACGACAAAATAATAAGTGAATATGAAACTCATTATTATGCATGGCTCTTTCTTACTTATCTATAAATGAGAATTTGTACCGTCCTAAATAATAGTTGAGGAACTTCTACTTGTGAAATTATTTTCCTTTGGCAAAGTGGATGGAAAAGATTTGGAAAAAAAAACACAAGTGCTGGCACAATTGACAGGAATGTTGGAAAAAATTTTTAAATGTTGGCATAGGAATTCTTTAAAAATTCTAAGTTACTCACATGTGAAATGAAAGTAAAAAAGCATCTGTCCTATTTTATGCACACTGACTAAAAAAATGAACAATTATATTTAGCAAAGTATAAAGCTCTTTAAACTAAGGTATTCTGTCTGGCTTTTGGCGATCTTTATGTTATTTGTTCCACTGAATTAAAATATTATGTTTGAGTGCAAGCATACTTTGAAAAGCAGAAATTGCAGAGAGGAGAACATTCTCTTTTCCAACTCTGATGACCCTAGATGAAATATGAAATTTTTGAGAGACTAAACACTTCTAATATACTTGAGAGAACTTTGGATCTTGGCCTCATTTGTCATTCTGCCCATTTATTAGTGAAATATTTCAAGAACCTTTGGACATGTCTTACTACAGCATCTATTGTTCTGCCCAAGTTAGAGGAGTATATAGATTAGGTCTTTTAAGAATTACAACCATGGTGGTGGTGGTTTTTTTTTTTAGTTTTCCACATTTTATGTTTTTAATTCTACTACCAGATGTGGTTATATTTTCATGGAAAACAAACAAGAAGCTTAGAGTAATATGAAATTCTGTTTTGATTCCTTCAGAAATTAGTTTAAATCAGTGTTTTAAGGCCAACATGACATTTTCAGATTGTTGTCTGAGATGCTTTTATTGTGTCTTGGTGCTGGAAAAAACAATTGGAGCTCTTATTCACATTTCAGTAAAGTTATTCTGTTTTGCTATGTGACCATTTATTGATAGAGTTTATTGCTTTTCATGCATTAAGTTATTAAAACAAAGAGTTCAACACATGGTTTCATAATTGTGATGGAAATAGTCCATAGTGTACCTAATTTCCTTTGATCCTTTATGTTGAACAGTTCAGGCCGTGGTACTTGCCTTGATAATGAGCCTCCCAAGCGTGACTTTCTTTATCCAGCTGTGGCCCCAGGTCAGGTGTATGATGCTGATGAGCAATGCCGTTTCCAATATGGAGCAACATCCCGCCAATGTAAATATGGGGTAAGAAATCTTAATCCTTATGTTTAGTCATTTATATGTGTTCTTTCATGACACAAATATTAAGTTAGATTTTTACTGAGTGCAGTTTACCTTTGATAACATCATTCATTTAAATATGGTCTTTGGCACACTGCCTTTTTTCTGATACCATTTGTCTAATATCTATTTCTAAATACTTGAGTAATCTCAAGTTTCAAATGTCTTGTGAGGAATACAAGTAGAATTTTAATAATTTCTAATTTATTTCTTTTTTAAGTCCTGAGTTTATAATGCCAACTTTTGAAATGTTATGCTTTTGAAAACTACCCTCTCCCAGCCTTTTCTGATACTCTAATAATTGGGTTTAAGGGAATTTTCACATTGGTTCGGAGCCTTTATTTTAATTTATACTTTTTAGTACTGAGTCATTTCAGGTTGCTTCATTCACTGCCCACATTCTAACACAACAACTGAGTGGGGACAAGATGACATTAACCCAAATAGAAAAACAAGGAAAATTCCTGTGGAAAAAAATGTAGGTTTCATAATTGACCCTTCATGTGTGCCTAAAAAAGTGGGCTGTGGATGAAGCAACTTGAAATGACTCAGTACTAGAAAGTATAAATTAAAATCAAATAAATAATATTATATATATAAATAATTTAAAGTTTCATTGAGAAAGATATCAGTGTTTAGTATAGAGACATGTTCGTAGTAGGTACACAGTGTAAACATGCTGAATGAAAATAGGATTTTTAAATGACAAGTTGTAAGAAAAATTCAGGTTTAAAACATAAGTTTAAAGGCTTGGTTTCTGTTTTTATGCAAATAGTGTTTAAAATCCCTTTTTAAAAATAATAACAAAAAAGGAATTCAGTCTTAAGATAGATAATACTAAACAGTATACACATGGTACTGTACCAGTTATTCCCCTTGGTACAGTACAAAGGAAAGTGATTTTTTAAAGTATCCCTTGGGTGACAAATATATTATTATTCATGGTAGGCTTTGGTAGCACATTTTGTGCAACAGATTTAAAGATTGTGTACAACTATCTAAATATCTAAAGCCTTGAGTAAAACTTTGGTCTTTCTTGTCTCTCAGATAGAGTCTTCTGTTATTATTTCTACATGATTTTAGTTTCTTTTTTTCTTGGGTTGCTTTTTCCTACAGAAAATGTTGATCAAATTTCAATTATGGTCTTTTTATATACTTGTAGCTTAGTAGGTTGAAATCCAAGATCAAATGAGATTACAGATTTTCTGTTGTTCTTATCTGTGATCTCATTTCTTTATTAGGAAGTGAAATGGTTAATCTACATTTTAGGTTTTTTTAATTGGAAATTGAGTTTTAATTGCATCTATGTATTTTCATATTACATAATTTATATTATCAGTTTTACAGGATCTACGGATGCATCTTTTCTTTCTTCAGTAATTAATAAAAATTTTCACCTGATTATCCTATCTCTCTACCTGTTATATTTCATTTATTTCAGACTAGTTGATCTGAAGTGAAGTAGGATAAATAGTAATTGCAAAATTGTGTATTTTCAGTTTATGTTCCTTATGTTTAGCTTTTTTTAATAAAGTTTTTTTTAACTTATTTGAGAGAGAGAGAGACAGAAAGAGCACAAGCAGGGGGAGGGACAGAGGAAGAAGCAGACTCCCTGCTGAGCAGGGAGCCCAAGGGGGGGCTCTATCCCAGGACCCTGAGATCATGACCTGAGCTTTAGTCAGATGCTTAGCTGACTGAGGCAACCAGGTGCCCTCTTATATCTAGCTTTTAGATTCTATTTCTTTATGTGTTGTGTTTATAAAAGCTTTTTTAATAGATATAAAATAAAATTTGGAAAACTTGGGGAGAGACATTAGCATCTTACAATCCTATACAATTTCACATATTTTGTCATTAATCTTTTCACTTTGATTTGCAGCAAAATGGTTTTCTTAGACTCATGTACTATATGAAAATGCTTATGCTACCTTTTTATAAAGTGCTATATATTACTATCAAAGTTTCTTGAGTCAAAATAGATTCTTTTTCTTTCCCATAATAGATTCTTTACAGTCACTCCCACCTCTTAAGCTTGTGCCTGAAAAATTGGTTTTACACAATTGACAGCACCCAAAGACACATCATGTTTTATCTGGTGAATTGCTAAGGTTTTAAATGATTCTAAATACTACTTTAGAAAACAGTAGTGGCTTTGAAAGTAGGGGTCCGTTCAGGTAAACAGGTCATACTTCAGATAGTAGCTGAAGGGAAAGCAGACCAGCCATGATTATAGCTAGCTGTCACTGAACACAAGCACTGGAGGCTTAGAAGAGCACGGTAGCCTTTTAGTGAGGGGATACTTCTGGTGTTGGAACATCAGGAAGTGATCCCTCTTTCAACAAGCACATCTCTAATGATGCCAGGGAAGATTTTAAACAACTAAAGATGATACATTGCTGCAGCAGTGATCAACTTGCTATCTCTTCCACTTTGGTTATCATGTGGTCATTGATGGGGTTCCCAGTGATTTTATCTGCAGTTACAAAAAATCTTGCTGGAATTCTTTGTGAGTAGGCTCATCAATATACATGTCAGTTATATTGGGGAATTTACATGAAAATTTTTAATTTTTATTCAACTTCAGGAAGCATTTTCTACCGTTGTCCTTGTATATCATCCATTTATGTTTTCCAGGTATTCCTAAATTCCAATAGAAGTAGTGAGGAGATGGTAATGGTTATAAATGCAAAGAACAAAACAGTATACAGAGTAAGATAGTTGTATAATATAGTAATTTATAAATGATGTATGGTTTGTGGTATTTATGTTGTGCCTTTTTCTGAGATACTTCAGACTAACTTTGATAAAAATTGTAATTACCTATTAATATTTTATAGATGGTGAAACTAGAATACAGAATGTGATTTACCTACCCCAAGGTAAAAATAAAAATGTAAAAAGGTCTAATTTACTTCCATTTTCTATTAGATGTAGTAAATATCTTAATAAAATAAACATATATTTTATTTCAGGAGATACTTTTTATCAGTGTTCATCAAATGATGTCTGTTTCTAAATATCTTCTTTTTTTAATCAGAATATTTTTATTATGTTAATCACCATCTAAATGTCTTCTTAAAAAACAACAACAACAAAAAATTTCTCTGTCTTATCCCAGTCTTTTTTGGGAGAGAGGTGGTCTGGAGAGCTTCCCTAAACTTATTTTCAGGGTTTTAAATTCTCAAGTGTGTGAGACCCTCAGTGTTGGATTTGAGTTATATATATACTTTTCCCTATGTAAATAGTTAGGACCTCTTCAAGGCAAAGTACAAGTACAGATGAGCAACAGACAAAACAAGATCCTACCAGATCATCTAAAAAATCTGCTAGCTGCATCATCAAGTTCTAAGGGTGCTGGATGAAACTGCATTGCAAATAAAAATGTCCAAAAACATTTTTTTTTCCTATTTAGAGGAAAACTGCTCTCTATAAAGTTCTGTAGAATCTATTGTCTCACTCTTCTTCCACTTCCATTTGTCTCCTCTTTCTTTAGCAGAAAAGAATCATTAAAAGTGGATTAACAAAAACATTTTACAGTAATAATAATAAGTTTCAACTTAGGAAGAAACTCACTAATGAACCTATGTATTGTAGGGGATATGGGTGATCTTTTGCCTGCTCTCTAAAAAAACGCAGATTAATTCAGGACTCAGTCTCAAACATAACTCTACATTTCTTTATCCTATCGCTATAAATCATACCCTAAACATTGTTTTCATATATACTTACTGTTTCACTGTAGGTTAACAATATCCACTACATAATTTACTGGTAACTGTCAATTGGTGATTGCTACCATGACACTTTTTAACAGAAATGGAAGAAAAAAAACAACAACCCTAAAATTCACATGGAACCATTAAAGACCCTGAATAGCCAAAATAATTTTGAGCAAGAAGACCAAAGCTGGCAGCATCATACTTCCTGATTTCAAAAGCTGATTACACAGCTGCAGTAATCAAAATAGTATGGTACTGGCATAAAAACAAGCATATAGACCAATGGAATGGAAGAGAGACTAGAAATAAAGCCATGCATATATTATCGGTGGATCTTTGACCAGGGTGCCAACAATACACAATGGGGAAAGGTTAGTCTCTTCAGTAAATGGTATTGGAAAATTGGACAGCCACAGGCAGAAGAATGAAGCTGGATCCTTATCTTATACCATACACAAAAAAATAATTCAAAATGGATTGAAGACTTAAATATAAGACCCAAAACTATAAAACTCCTGGAAAAAAAACATAGGGAAAAACCTTCTTGATTTTGGCAATGATTTCTTAGATGTGACACCAAAAGTATAGGCAACAAAAGCAAAAATAGACAATTGGGACTACATCAAACTAAAAAGCTTCTGTACAACAAAGGAGACAGTCAACAAAATGAAAAGGCAACTTATGGAATGGAAGAAAATATTTGCAAATCATGTATCTGATGAAGGATTTATGTCCAAAATATATAAGGAAGTCATACAACTCAATAGCAAACAAACAAAACAAAACAAAATAAAAACCCCAAATAACCCAATTAAAAAATGGGCAAAGAACTGAATAGGCATTTCTTAAAAGAAGACATACAAATGGCCAATAGGAATGTTAAAAGGTGCTCAACATCACTAATCATCAGGAAAATGCAAATTGTAACCAGGATGAGCTATTACCTCACACCTCTTAGGATGGTTATAATATAAATAAATAAAAACAAATACAAAAGAAAACAAATGTTGACAAGAATGTGGAGAAAAAGGAACACTTGTGCACTCATGGTGGAAATGTAAAGTCGTGCAGCCACTATGGAAAACAGTGTGGAGATTTCTCAAAAAAACAAAAAAATAGAAATGCCATATGATCCAGTAGGCCCACTTCTGGGTGTATACCCCAAAGAATTAAAATCAGCGTCTCAAAGAGATATGTATATTCTCAAATGTATTGCAACATTATTCAAAATAGCTCAAACATGGA